TGGGTAAATAAGTCTTTACTGAGTCATTAATTTTGTTACTGAGTCAATAAATCTGTACTGAGTCAATAAGTTGTTACTGAGTCAATAAATCTGTACTGAGTCAATAAGTTGTTACTGAGTCAATAAATCTGTACTGAGTCAATAAGTTGTTACTGAGTCAATAAATCTGTACTGAGTCAATAAGTCTTTACTGAGTCAGTTAAGTCAGTTTTCAAATATTTTCTGAGTCATTTAATATTATAGAGTTGTTTGATCTTTAATGTGTCATCAAATATTTATTGAGTTATTAAATTTTTACCAAGTCAATAAATCTGTACTGAGTCAAAAAATTCTTTAAAGAAACAGCAACATTTATTGAGCAAATAAACTTTTACTGACAGACTCATTAAATCTTAACTGATTCAAAAATCTCTAGTGAGTCATTAAATATTTAGTGAGACAGAAAATATTGACTGAATACTTAAAACTTTAATGAGTGATTAAAATTTTAGCAAGTCAATAAATGTGAGTCATCAAATTGTTACTGAGTCAATAAATATTTACTGAGTCAGTAAATATTTACTGAGTCAGTAAATATTTACTGAGTCAGTAATTTCCTACTGAGTCAATTAATCTTTACAGAGTTAATGAATCTTTTCTGAGTCTTGATTTCTACACAGTGATAGTTTTTGAATCATCTTAGGGATAAAATCTTTACAGCAGATCTCCTGTTTGACACTGATTTACTTGAAGCAGTTTTCTTAGCAAACAAACCCAGGAGATTGATTCACCCAGACAAAGTAGGTGTGGTTTCTCCTAAAAGGGGCGGAGCTTCACAGATAGGTTTTCTTTATGCTRGAGTCCCCAGAATGGTTTGAGACAGACATCTGCTGGGGTTTCTGTTTCCTCTATGAGTCTTACAGGCTCCCAGTTTAAATATGTTCCAAATAATTTGAGCAACAAATAAATTTTTTTAAATTCACAGAATTATCAGAATCATCTCAAAACCTTCTGTCCAGGTGTAAAAACCACCTGATGATAAATCGTAGTTATAAACAATTCTGCTGAGACACGTCACTTTGTTTTAACTTCCTGTCAGCTGAAGATCAAATCATCCACAGATTGGTTACAGATGTTTCCCATCATCTGCAGGACATGTGTCCACATGAGTGGACATGTTTGTTGTCCATGAGGACAGAGACATGACCTCGGTTATTATCAGAAACATAATCCTGTGAAATCACCAATGAATTTCATCATATTTCTACAAGATTAAAATCAGAAACTCACCGATTGTCTCTGAAACATCAAAGGCTTTAATCCACTAACTGATGAAAGTCTTCATYGCTGTAAAACTCCTGCAGCTCAGTCAGATTACAGCTAAAAACTCCTCCCAGACCTCCTGCTCCTCCCTCCTCTTCCTCACCCAGACCTCCTGCTCTGGTCCCAGTCCTTCAGCTGCAGTAACTTTCATTATATTTCACTTTATTAATAAATATTTYATAATAGAAACAGAGATTCTTTCAGCTCCTAAAGAAAACAAAGGATGCTACATGTGTGTTAGCTTTTAGCTTCTGTTTTTCWTATTTTAGCTTTGGTTCTGTCTAAGTTTCAGCTTCTTCAGCAGATTTCGGCAGTCATGAAAGTATTTTTAGATTTTATGTTTCAGAGTCAAACTCCGAGAACATTTAGGGTAGACCTGTGTCCCTGTCCATCTGTGTCCCTGTCCATCTGTGTCCTGTCCACCTGTGTCCTGTCCACCTGTGTCCTGTCCACCTGTGTCCTGTCCACCTGTGTCCTGTCCAC